GACACAGACATAGATATACACATACACACACATACACACACATACACACATACACTTCATCAACGTTTTGCTACTAATTTTTGGTGACAAAGTACTTGGCAGCAATAATTTCTGACAAATTTATACATGAAATATTGTTTTAAATATGTACTAAAGTTATTTATCATCGACAAATGCCTTATATATTTCTATTTACTTCATAAAATTTGACAAATACTTTTCAAAAACTAATTAAATATCCTATTAAGATGCTTCGAAATTAACTTATTTATTTCACACCAAAAATTAGTTGTACGGAAAATCGCTCGATGAAACCGAACCACGTATCGTTTGAGATTGTAAAAAGTTAAATTCAATGAAATCTGAACAAAACTTTATTTTTATTCTGCAAAATTTTCAATAAATAAAATTCTCAACCTTTGCTTTAAATTTTTAGATCTTGTTTGATGTCATCCTTTTACTCCATGAATAGCTGCAAATTGGTTTATTTTATTAGTCTTTTGATTGAAAAAAAATATATATATATTTCGAATTTTTTTCACGGCACATTTTTTCAGGACTAATAACTAAACTTTTTTCCTTTTTAAACCTTGTTGCCTTTGACAAACTCTAAAATTAAAGTTGAAACTTTCAAATGTGCAATGAAAGAAAGGAAGAATTAGAAAATTTTGGCCTTTTTCGGTTAGAGATTTCAATAAGTAAGAAGTAAAATTCAAATTCGAATTAATCGAATTTTCAAATATGAATGGAGTAATGAAATTAGCTAACTTCATATTAATATATTAGAATATAAATAAATAACATAGTAATGAAGAAAAAAAAATCAAAAAAGATATAAACATACGGATATACAACTTTGGTATTATAATGTATGGAATCAAATATTTCTCTTCGATTATAAATCAATATTCATACCTGTTTGTTTATTCTTTGATCTCATACGATAAGGGAAATTATCTTCTATATTAAATTGCTAAAATATAATGAAAAAAAACTTAAATGAAAGATTTTTATCCTAAAATAATTGTCTTTTTTTAACCAAATGACAAATTTTTCGCCACTTTTTCTTTTTTCTTTTTTTTTGCATTTATTATTTGATAAATGAATGCAAATTATACCTTTGCACCAAAGAGGAAACTTCTTTTTTTTTTTTGAAATAAGCAATGTTTTGTTGTTAAACAAATGGTAAATGCGTATGAACGAAGAAATTGAAGTAAAGCAAAAAATGAAATAAGTGATTAATAAGAGATAGAAAAAGTAAGAAATGATTGGAAAGCCTCTTTTGTGACAATTATTGCTTAGCCTTTTTTTTTTTAAATTTTATTTTGATGAATGTTTAAACTTGAACTTTCCAGATAAAATATATTTTTAGTGGAACTAAAACTTTGATTGGCATTTGATTTATGAAAGAGATGAAGCATAAATTAGTTTAGCATGAAATTAATAAGAATGAGATTGCGATCAAATTATTCATTCTATCAGGGCAAAACTTCATTGCAATAATTATTAATATCTAGGGATTAAGTACAAAAAAAAATGAATTTTAAAACACTATTTAAGAAACTATAATAATTGATTTGTTTCACCAATATAGGTAATTTTATTGTTCAATGAAAAACTGTTCACAATATTTCCTTATTGATAATACTATTTTTATAATTAATATCAATTCTGATTTCTGATAAATTTGATGACAATCATTTACAGCATTTGAATAGTATTTGTGATACTACAAGTGAAAGTATATGTATTAGTTGATTAATGAAAAAGATATAGGAAATTCTTGAAAAATATCGAATAATTCCTCTAACTGTTATGCTATTCGATTAGATTTCGATTATATTGATTAATTTTCTACCTTATGCTACTCAAACTTTAATCAATTCACTTTTATGAAATTGTTAATACGTTTTTTTATCTTCTCAAAAGTAAATTTATTCCAAGTTGATTTATTATACTGTAAAAAAAGAAAAAAAAACTTATTCCTTTGAATAATATTTGAATAATCTCTTTTTCCAATAAAGAGTTTAGACATAGTAAGAAATGTATTTGATGTCTTTAATCAATATTAGTAACGATTCAAAAGGTTCTGAATTAATGATGCAGCATGTCTACTTCATTTAAGGACCTTACAAGGAGTATAGTAAAATGAATACTATCACTGATTATGATTTTATCAATAAAAATAAATCATGAGATTTGGAGAGTTCCGAGTAATCACTTACTTATAACAAGCCATCCTTTCACAAACTCTTTTTCACTTAACTGAGTATTTTCCAAAGAGTATTTCATGTCCATTTCAGAAGTGTCAACTTGACTAGCAGGGTTAGAAGTGGACTATCCCTTTACCTAACACTTTTCATTAGTAATTCTTTGGCTTACGATAATACTGTTGAATGAATGATTGATTGATTGATTGATAGAAATAAAAAGTGTTACAACTGATAAATCTCAGGTGAGGTTAGGTAAAATAATGAAATC